GCTTGACCGACTGCGAGCGAGATAACATGGGCGCAGCAATAACGCAGACCTAGGCGTAGGACCATCTATACTGTCACTTGTAGAATCCAAACTTCCTGACTCTTGTAGAGAATTTACTGTATTCTGGTTTTGAATGCCATCTTGTAAGCAATTTTTAGGATTTTTTTTCAAAAGAACCATTAAACCTTTTGCATTAAGATTTTGCACGTACATTTATGGGTATTTAAAATACATAATATATTTTGTCGAAGTAAAAACAATCAAAATTACACGAGTTATAGTTTGTTTTAGTGTGTTGACTGTTTACACGATTCCTGGCACACATGTTCCAGAATACTTTAGGAAAATGCGGAAAAAAATTGATTTTTTGAAAGTTCAAAACCAGAATACCCCCTTAAGAATTCATTTTTATATTTTTTTCTTACGAACCAGGCAAAGGACTGGCCAAATCACATTGATGACCAACAGTACTGTCCATTCCCATGTAACTATATGCACCGGCAAAGTATTGATCCATGCACCATTTGCTTCTAAGAAGATTTGCCGGATAAGGAAGAGTAGGATCACCGGTAAATTGTCGAAGAACTCTGGTTATCGATTCCACAACCTCTTCGTCCGAGCACAATTCCATATCTGCCGCCTCTCGGCCGCAAACACACGCGCATAAAACGTGCTGAGAAGTTGACAATTCTTCTACATTCGAAATTCCTACGACACGTGGAATTATTAATTAATCAATCGAATATACTGTCCTTCTTAGTTGAAATGCCCTATCTCTCGATTTGTAATTTTTCAGAATGTTCTGAAGTTCCATGGGTTTTTCACTTTTTAAGGAAAATTAGAATATTCTCTGTGTTTTGTAAGACTCTAGAAATAGTTTTACTAACTTTTACATAATTTTACTCGCACGTTTCAAAATGATATCTAGGACAATTAAATAAAGATGAGCTATGTCTTTGAGTAAAGCGTAACTTTTGAAAAGAGTTAATCGATGATTACAAATGAAAAAATTAAATTTTCAATATTTTCATTAGAAAAAAAGGAATTTACTCGATCTATATTTCGAGCATTTTTAATATCATTTTCTCATTGGTTTTACCAAAAAAAAAAAAAAAAAAAGTATTAAGAATCATTTTAATTTACCCAAAAGGCGAATTTCTAAAGTGTACAATTTAATATTCACACACTCCTTAATTCTTCGTTTTCATTTTACCTTCTGTTTACCACAATTTCACGATGAATCAGCTGTAATTTTGTCACGAGTCGCTTATCTTCACCTGAGAAAAGTATACCATACCTTTCACCCAATCGCATCTATCAGCAAGTTCATCAGCTGACCAAGCCAGCTTGATCCCACCTTCCTTCCAAACCCAGAACGGCCTCGCGTATTCCAAGAACACTTTATTAACATATCCGAATCCCAGTTTGCAAATGGCTTCGACTTTCTCCGCGGACAATGCTGGACAGAAGAGCTTGTCGTGTTGGTGCTTCAAAACACCGAGCGACACGGTGACGATCACGTAATCAGCTGGAAATTCTTCGCCGTCGCAACACTTCACCACAGCTCGAGGACAGGACTCGCTTATGGCGCCCCATCTGATACAACTAACTGGCTTGCAATATCTGGAACGAAGAAATATGCGTTTTATGCGTCGTTTGACCTTTTCGTCACGGTCGCCTCTGTCAAGAAACGATCACATTTCACACTTGGTCACACTTTTGTCTGTTTACGTCTGCTTCGGGCTGAAATTTCGTGCAGACGTTAGTATTGGATGGTTGCAAAAGTTCTACCCCGATTTGAAAATAAAACACAAGCGGGGTGTGCAAAGGCACATTTCGTTCGAAAATGAAATTAAATGAAACGAAGAATTATTTGAAAATAAAACACAAGCGGTGTAACTTTCGATGGGAATTGTTGGATTATTTCTAACAACACCCTATGGAAATAGTCAAGTGAGGACAAAAATGTCTCCGCGTTATTTTAAGCAAAGGCACTAAGGCTTCCACCGGATGTGTCTGGTGTCCGTCTTCGAGTCACGCACTGCACACTGTGATACCATAAAGTAAACAGTTCCTTGGTATAAGCGCACCCTAACTTTCTTTTTAGGTGCCCAGGAACAGTCCTTTCGAACATTCAAGAGAGTAAAGACGTTTCCTCTGAGTCCGTCGATAAATAGTATATCATAAGTTAAAAAGACTATTTCATTTCGTAACTCATTTCCAATAGGAATATATATGTACTCTGTTCAAAATGAGAGTAACCTCGCTTCGCGCATGGGACGTGCCTAAGGCAGGACTAGAACCACTAGAACGTCCAAACCCCCACTGAACCACCTACGTTTTTCTCCGTCTTACCCTCTCCTACGCTCTCTGTCTATGCGCAGAACGGACGAGAATCGGTCCGAGAGCGAGATTACTCTTATTTTGAACAGAGTCCAGCACGATGCTGAAACAAACATCTGTGACGAAGTCGATAAGGTTCCTGCCACCTCTGAAGATCAGGCACGAGCTTTTGCAATCGTCGAATATTATCGAAACCCAAGAGAAAGAATCCTTGCGTCAATTAGGGTTCAATTAGGCGAAATTGGACAAACTTGTTCTAACGGCTGTGGTTTGGATAGAGAGTAGATATCCTTGCTGAATGGAGATATAAGACAAAAGTCTGAGGTGCTCCAAATGTCCAAAAGGGCGGCGAACATTGGTGTTTATATATGTTGATGATTGTGAATGTGATTTAAGTGAAAAATCTAAAGGAATTGAGTTTATCGTGTTTCGTCGACTTTTTCATAGAAAAGAATTACGGTATAAGAGCAATTATTTTGTGAAACATTTTAAACGTGCTACTTTTCGTAACACGCGTTGATTTATGGATCACTAAAATAGCACATATAAAATCCAACTCTGACTAAGAATAACTATCAATAAATCAAACTTCGAGGAGATCGTAGCTAAGTATTCATTGGATGTTAAATATGTTGGATAGATCCTAAAATTGGATATTGCAGCAACGAAGTTAACAGGTTGATCAGTGAATGTAAAATTTCAAAAATGTTATACAGAAAGCTATATTGAAGAAATTTGGTTAAACAGATTAACTTAGCATTAAAGTTCGTATAAAAAATTAAGTTTGGTTTTATGAAATTGGCACCGATTTCTATGATACGACTGCTAAATCTAAGCGTGATCTATTTTAGATTCGTCAAAATTTCGAAATTACCAAGCGAAAGACTTGAATATAAAATCGTTCGATCGATGTTAAAAGATTTGAAGTGACTAGCAAATGTATCGGTTCTTCGAGTGTGATTATAAGGCTTGTTTCGATAGAATTCAGTGGATTCCAGTGTGCTTCACATTCGACAAGTGTCCTAATACTTAAATTAAAATAATATTAAACAAAAGTGCAAGTACTCCTAATTCAGTTTTGCTTCAGCTTGCAACGATTTGGGAAATATCAATAATCACATAATACATTAATATTTAACATATCATGCATTAATGCTTCTCATAGTATTTTCCACTTTACTATGCTTCAAAAATCAAATGTATCGTATGGTAATGTCGTTTATTGTGTCATTTAACTAACTTAAGTGAAGAACTCGGTAAGTCTCTCAGCAGAGGAGCAATCACTCCGACGTATCCAAGGGGAACTCTTACATTACCACCAGGAATCTCTATGTAACTACCAAATTGATCGGCAGAGACCAGCGATAGATCATCGCCACATCGACATCTCACGCAGTTCGTCATTCCGTACATTACCCTGGCTGCGTCGTATCTGAAAACACAAAGCAACCAACGTTATCGAAAGGGAACATGTTTGCGATCTTATATCATTAACAACACAGTGATGTAACGTAACGTTGACCGATATAAACATCGTTACTTATTTCAATCGTTACTTATTTTCGTACATTGCTTCTCAATTTTGAAACCTGTTCTCGAAGTCAGCTGTTTCAGTTAAAAATACAGTGCTCCAGCAATCGTGGTGATTTCTTATGGAAAAACAAGTCGAAAATGCAGAATAAAGTTTTTATATGCGAGGCTTCGTTTTCGAGAAATACGACTTTGAAAATCTACGCAGTGCACGTGTACTAACTATAAGTTTCGCATTTGTTTGTATTTATAAACACGAGCAATGTCATTATCCTACGAGTATCATACAAAAAGCATTTTATAATAAATACCGTAAACTGGGATAACATTGGCAGCTATAGGGGGAGTTCCCTTAACGCCGCTGATATCGGACATTAGCTGTATCTGTAATAATTGAAACGCTACCGAGCCGTTATTCCTCGTATCCCTTAGAGGAGATAAAACCAGCAAAAATAAGTTTTCTACGCGTTTCAGTCGCGTGTGTACAGGTAAAGAGATTTATTTAAGAAAAACCTTAAGCGTCCGGTGCTAGGGGAACTCCCTCTACACACGAACGTGTAAGTAATCAAGAAGTTTCATTTAATTAAGATGTAAATAAGTAAATAAAAGTTTAGATCACAATAACTAATCATGTCGTGCCTTTAATTACATCGACAAACTGATTAATTTAAAAATACGTTAATCCTCCGAATAAATGAAAAAAATATAAAAGAGAACGCATTGAACGTAAAGAGAAACAAATTTAAGTGCCAATGTAACTTAGTAAAGCTTTAGTTGTTGATGCTATTTACGTGATGTGCCAATTTTACAAAAGTTACCGGGTAACAGTGGCAGTTGATTAACGCGTATTGCAGAATGAGAAGGACAAAAATTTGATGCATCTTCACACTTGTAGTACAATCGCAAAAGATGCAATTAAAGCAAATGTAAAACGTTAACGAAAACCTGCCAATGTTCCCCCAGGTTAAGGTACTTCATATCGCGAGCAACTTCTAACGACAATCAAAGAACTGTCCACAACTACTTTTACATCGCTGCCGATAAAGTTTGCAGTTGACCTGTGCAACTGTACCGTTGCTCCTCCGGGAAATTGTGGAGCTCCTGTTGAATCCTAACGCCCATGAAATTCAGCAAAGTGCCATGAGTGCGGCCACAACCTAGAGAGAAAAGGGTGGCCGCTTGTTGTTCGATCTGTCGAAACGTGTGATAAGCCGTGATGCTGACAGGAAGATCGATAGCTCTGCCGTCGCTCGTGCAGAAAAGACCGCGACTTGGATCGGGCCTGAATATGGGTGGCTTTAACAGACCCTCTTGAGCAGCCAGGGTGAACACAGGATTTGCCACGCATCCTCCTTCGATCCAAGAGGCGCCCATCTCGGCCACCACGTCACCCAACCAGCACGAATGAATTCGACCTCCTGGTCTGCGAACAAGATCCGTTATCGATACCATTAATTCAATTCTGTTTTCTATGTTATCTTTTATATTATCATTTCATTATCATTACGTGGTCTTATACAAAGCATCGTGAAATGAATTGTGCAAGCGGAAAGGTGATGATTGTACATGAGAAAATGAATCGAAAGTGAAGAATACAATTCTCTCTTATGAAACTCTGTTTTCGGGAAAAGTAGCTTCAAAGAGTCGCGTGAAAAGCCTAGAATACTTGAGCTAAATAGAGCAACAGAGGTGCGGAAGAAGACTGTTTGAAAAGGGGTGAATCTACAAAGTTATAACATTTTTTCACGGGAATCTTCATTTCTGAATAAATTCATGTTGAGAATTTAGTTCTAAGGAATATGATCCACCGAAAATAAAATAATTTTCTAAGAGACAATTTAAGGTCCACTTACATACGTAGATTCTACAAAAGTCAAAGCAACATGGCAAACGTTGGCAAATCTTTGTCGACTCTTGTAATAATCAGTTTCTGCACTTTTTTAATAATAAAATTAGTAATAAAAATTTCTTAATTTTTAATGACAAAAGATCTTGCGAAAGTATTTCAGGATGACTTAGTTAATTACTACGTGTCACAACTAATTGAATACGTCGATTCCTGTGTTTTTATACGAAAAGTAGCGAGTGTTAGGAAAATTTTTTGGTATGTTTCGCGTGAAACGTAGAATATACCTATCCGTCGCCTCTAATATCGTGAAATTCTGGAGGCCACATTGCGTCAACCGATGAGCCGCAGAAAGTCCAGCCATCCCAGCACCGATGATTACCACTGTTGGTTCCGGTTTGCATGGATCCAGCATGCAGGGATCCAGCTGACATGATTCGAATTTGGCTAGCTTCGCGCATGGTGGTAGATCCTTTTCTCCTCCTCTCTTATTCGACGAAAAATTTCTATGTACATTACGACACGAGTTAATGAATTTTAGCGAAATCAACATAATTGCTTGGAAATGATTCTTCGTACAAAACTGATTGAAATTTGAAAAATTGAAGGAGAAATACCGGTAAACACAACCAGCTAGAATATCGTTTTATAAATGTAACGGATACATTGTTAATTCTACATTTTACTATTAATAATTCCTGGCGAATTTAATCAGAAATTGGACAGTAATTATTATTTAAACGAGAGAAAGTTTAAATTCCTCTTCTAATCTGACACAGACAGTAGATGGTGTTGCTAGACGTGAATTCCAACCTCACATAAATCTTTTTGCAAAAACAAACGTATCTCCACAGAGTTTGGTAAATAAAAAAATAACACGTTATATTGATTAATTAGAATTTACGTTAGAGAAAAAGGTAGAGAATGTAATTTACAAACGTGAGACAATATGTTTGTATTGAAGTGTGAAAACATAACTGCAACTCTCTTTAGCTACCTTACTAAAACTGTTTGGATTCTTCGAAACGATATTCTGGTCTTCGTAAGTAGCATCTCATTGGGCATAAAACGGCGAAACTAGTGAATTTGTTCATGAAGACGATTATGCTTAATCCTAATAGGAATTTAGATGTATTTAAGGAAAGTTCTTTATTGGCGAACGTTGCTACGAGGAAAGCATGACATACACGCAAACAAACGACCATTGCTGTCATGATGTTTTATTGTTGCTGGAAGCATTGATCGTGGCCAACTATGATAAATAGTTTATTTGACACGTTTCTCCGTGAAATTTCTTACTTTTGCGTTTTATAAAACAAATGAAATTCGCCACTTTTCGTCGATATATACAGGGTGTCCCGTAAAGAGTGTAAGAGTGTTGCTAGGGTGACTCTGAACAACTTTTTCCTTGACCAAAATGTTGTTTGAAGCTTCGTTTTTGAATTATTAACGAAAAACACTGGCCAATCAGAGCGCGCGTAAGGCCCGCGCTCAGGGACGGCCGATCAGAGATTCACGCGTACGCTTGTTCACGATAGCGCGCGGGTGAATATTAATTTAGCTTTATCACGTTATCGCAATATATGTTCTTACTTTAGAATAAGTAAAATCGAATCTTTAAAATGAATTAATTTAAATAGATAATGAAGTGAGTGCAGTGAAATTGGTAAAATAAAACACGTGAAAACAACGGGGGCGTAGCTCATACGGTAGAGCGCTCGCTTAGCATGCGAGAGGTACCAGGATCGATGCCTGGCGCCTCCATTGAATTTTTTCTTTCACAAAACTTTCATATAATAAAATTTTCTATTTTTTTCCGTTCACGAAAAATCGCATTTCTCGTTTTATAAAATAAAAATGACTTATCTTTAACGATTAAGTAACTTATCTTTAACACGATTAAATAACTTATCTTTAACAAGTGCTCCAGTAATTTTACCAACCTACACTTCCCTTCGCAAGTATCGGGACACTTACCGAATGGGAAACAAACCTAAACAGTCGTTAAACAATGTCGGCCGAAAACCGAAAACTGTATACGTGACAGCGGACGTCAGTGTTAAACACAGATGCACGTCACGAACATGATGGGTGTCCTAATACTTAGTGAACGATGGTGTTATATTATTCTATTTACAAAACGTCCTTATGAGATAGCACATTTATCGTAATTAAAAAAGACGTGTAACGGTTGAAATGCAAATAGAGAAGGAAATAAAATGTTTCGTTTGCTTAACAAGTATCGACATTTGCATATGTTAGACAAGGATGAAATATAAAAGGTCGCATGACACTCGAAACGAAGGAAAGCCGCGTACGCGAACTAACGGTTGGATAGGACCGAGTGTAGGCCCTGAGGACAGTTTTATGACAATAATCAGAGCCAAGTTATTCGGGAACGTCCAGAGGCTCCAAAAACCTACTGAAGAGGACACTTGTCTGGAGTTTTATGAAAGATATCAATTGACAATTGTCTTTTAACCTAAAATATCGTTCTTGAAAGATAAATGGCTGCTCGACTTCTGGCGCTCACTACTCGGGCCCCTGTGAATGACATCAGTTTTCGTGTATGTTTTAAGTTTAATGACTCTTCGATATATGAGAAAAGACGCAACTGTAGCTTCGTCCATCGCACAGAAAAGAAACAAACGAGCAAGATACAAATTTCGTCCCTGAAATTGCGACAACAAAACTAACATAAACACGTTTCACGTGTTACAAATACAAATTTACGTAAAGCTCGCGTAAAATATATCTATCCAGATTGCAAACTACAATACGTAAAGTATAACTAATTATGTACACAATGAAAGATGTTTCTTTATATACTACCATTTTCTGTATCTCACTATTTCTACGATAATACACCTAAAAGTTTCGTATTCAATAAATAAACGTTATATTTGTTGCCTATAAACTACAATATTAACCCTTTGCGCTCGAAAGGCGTTGTTATGGCGACATACTTAATCGCTCTGGAGAACTTAGAAACGTAAAATTCAAGTTTTTTAATATTACTAAAATAATGCAACTTAAATATTGAAAATCCTTTTTTTCTTAACAAATCTTTATATTTTCAAAAGTTTCACTGCAAAAGTACACTGAAATTGCTGTCTAATCTTATAAAAAAATGCTCGGAGTACAAAGGGTTAATCGTGTAGATCCAAAGATACGTCTGAAACGCGAACTTTCGTCCGTTGGATGAGTAATCACCCCGAAGAGATACGAACGTGTGGTATAAACGAGGAGGAGAGAAGGGTTGAGCAACGTGTTCTACGTTATTTGTTGCGCTTTCGACGTGAAGTGCAAAGATTTGATCGTTTCCGTTATATTGTCCGAGGATTTTTGAAAATGCTCGAACGTTTCTTCAGAAGGTGCTCGTGTTCGCAAAATTTCTGTCGCGTGTTTCGTGATCTCGTTCCACGCGAACCTGATATCGTCTTCACGGCTCAAACGACTGCACACTACGAATCGCATGATTAATTTGTCGCGATAGGTTGCGGCAATCACGTAAATCTTTCTCTCGGCTGCTATGCGGCTGAGAAGTTCCTTGGTTAATTGATTGTCGCCCTGAAATCGGTAATCAGATGTATTAGAAGCTAACGGCGTATAAATTTCAAGAATAGTTATCTCGTAAATACGATAATTTCATATTATGTACTTTGTAGTATCACAAAAATTTGTAAAATTGTATATTTCTAAGGCTAGAACTACCAAAGCAGTGAAAATAAGTAGTTTGCGTTTTTCGAGAAAATTATTCAAATTTATGACGGTGCATTGCATGAAATTTTTCACGATTTTCTGCGAGGAATATGAATGAACACTTTTTTCTGCCTTCCAGTCTGATGCTAAAAATATGAAACCTACAATTTTAAGGTGAGTTGGAGAACTTTCAATTTTATAGTAAAAATTTCAGTTACAAAATTGTAACTCATGATTCTTAATCAAACACTTAACGACTGCTCTTCAGATTAAAAATTTTTCATTTTTACAATTCAATTATTAGGTCGTTCCATAAGTTCGTGCCGAGAACGGAAAAGGAAAATTCAAGGAAATACTACAGCGACGACATAATGGTATTACTAAAAAAATAGAAAAAAGTTGTGGAACGAGAAGGCGCTTACGTTTTCTTTTTGTCAAATGTAAAGGTTCGTTGGAAATATCGATCTGAATTTTTAAATTCGGTACGAACTTATGGGATGACCTAATATTTTAATAACATTGAAACAGTTTTCCTTCGATTTACACCTTATATACGTATATCAACATGTACACATTTTTTACATACCTTCATTCTGAAGCAAATCAAGCCCATGAGCCTATCAGTCATCAATTCGAACCTATTGTCAGATTTCACGTATTCCTCGAACATTGTGGCCAATTTGATCGCATGTCTTATGTGTCGCTGGAGGCCTTCCGCCCCGTAGATGCGTAACACGAACCAAAGTTTCAAGGAACGAAAACGACGGCCCAAAGGAATTTGCCAATGCTGATAAATAATTGGAGAATGTATTCACTTCTAGTCAATTTTTCAAAGAAATCAAAGAAATTAAAAAGTGTCGAGTAAACGAACAGCTTGCTCGATACTTTTGTGCAAAGTAGAATAAACTGTTGATTCTTTTTGGTAGTGTCATGCAAGAACATGAATTAAATCGTTGAAAAAATAACTCACCCTGTAATCTGGAACAAGCCCTTGGTTATCGTGTTCTAAATATATTCTATCTACGTTGAACGCTTCGATAAGTCGCCTAGAATTTTTTACCCTAGAATTACAGTGAAAAAATGAATAAACGTGTATCTTCAATCACAATATCGTGAAAGAAAGATAATGCGTACCATAACGCAGAACAGTCAAAATTCACCAGTAGCCATTTGTGTGCGTTAACGTTGAAAGAGTCAGCATAATCAACGCCCGACATTAAATATCGATACTCGGGGCAAACGAAAGCAGCACCTGTGAATATAAGGGAAAATATTTAGTATTTCATTGAAATTATTATACTTGAAAATATATCTTAAAACCAGTCGATAAGAACACAATATTTAACGATGTTCGAAGACTAGATTGCTTGTAATTTTGTCGTAAAGATTAACGAGGGTACACCTTGGGGCTTCTGAAAATAGGTGACAGTTTTGGAATTTTTCTCGTGGGTAACTACTAAATGAAAAGCTTCCCCTTGTATCCCCTTGATACAGAAAGTAGTCATTAAATACAGCATTATTAACCTGCATAAGCGGCATCAACGTGCAACCATACGTTATACTCGTTACAAATTGGCCCCAATTCTTCAAGATCGTCGAAGGCACACGTGCCAGTTGTACCTAAGGTGGCCACCACGTAACATGGTATCAAACCTTTCTCCAGATCCTCTTTAATAGCCTTGAGTAACGTTTCACCTCGAAGAGCACATTTGTCGTCGGTGGATAAAAGTCTCATGGAAACCGATGCTAACAGTCCCGCCTTTTCTACCGAAGAATTCGATTGATCTATCACAGAAAATGGTATCTTTGGAGGCCCTAGGCGTAACATCATCACGAGGCTTCAAAAAATAAAACAACTCTTAAATAAACTTTCGTTTTCAGCGGCCTTTTTCAAAAATAAGTATTTTATTTTGCAACTGATAACATTTGCACTGGATTCAGAATTTTACTTAATTATTAATTGCGATGAAAAGGTTGATTGTTACTTAGATACAGTTTTGCTTTTGAAAGTTGTATTGTGTTTCTCTATGAAATTGTCAAAATAGGATATAACGAAAGTACTATACACACCAGTATTAATAAGCAATAATATCCGATGGTCCGATAATTGCAATATAAATAAGTTTACGTTAATTCAAGAAAACGATCGTAAAATTAAAAGAGAGCGTAGTGTAATGCGTGATAATTACTTGATGTATATGCAACCAGTTTCGCCTTGATGAAGCCTTCGTCCCAATCTGGATGTAAACGTTGTACACGACGTGTCGTTTGTTCTTTCGCCGCTAATAAACACACGAGCGTAGACTCACTGGCTGATCCCTAATTACACGAAAGAATACGAGATTTTATTTTCGCATTAAACACACCTAAATGAAAAAACGTTAAGATTCCTTTAAGCGTATCACCGTAGTAAGAAAAAAATATGTACAATTTTCTGATTATGTATGTACATGATATTTTCTCCAGCAAACTACATTCAGATTTAAACTTAATTAGACGCCAAAAGTGTCATATGAATGTTAGATGAGAAATAACATATTGGAATGTAAAGTTTGATAAATTATCACATTACGATCATTTATTTTGAGTAGACAGGTAATACTACTGTAAAAGAAAATCGAACAACTAATTTATAGAAATAAAATAATATTGAGATAAAACGACGTTTAAAAATGAATTTATAACCACTTTTATGAGACTCAGCGATAATTACAAATAATAAACAGCAGTCAACACAGTGGCTCGTTGGTCTAGGGGTATGATTCTCGCTTAGGGTGCGAGAGGTCCCGGGTTCAAATCCCGGACGAGCCCGTGATTATTTTTTATTGTTTGTAATTTATTGACAAGTACTAGCATTTCAAAATGAAACAATTGTGTAATAATCAATTGTAAACAATTTTTGTTAACCTAAATTAACTTCACATTGACAAAGGCATCGTGCAAAAAGTAACACAAATCTTACAAAAACACGTTCCAAATACAGAAATTTCGTCCGGAAAAATTTTGAGTAACAAATACCGATTTATTATACAGGCGTAAAAATTGAAACAATAATTTCTTTACAATGAAAATTCTGTTGTATTTTCATTTGTTACTTAAATTAACAATGCCATGTATGGTCGATTCGGCAACCTGTATTCGGCAACCTGTAAATTTACTTTGTTATATATAACGACCCAACTTTCGTCGGGTACAAGAAAAAATTATTCTCTAAGACTCATCATATGCTCCCCTCCACGGAAATCTTTAGTAAAAGGCGAAAGATTTAAACGTGAATTGAAGGGAAACCAGAGTAACTATCGCACCGTTGCGCTGGAAGTTATGGTATGGGGTCCTAGCTTTCAAAAGCGAGAAACCTGTCCCTCTGGTGTGAACCTGATGCATTAGCTCACACATAATCGTCGAAGTATTACAAATCTTATTGAATAATAACTTGAACATTTAATAATTTGAAATTAATGAAATAATGTGCTTCTCAAAGACAATTATATTACGACAATAATCGACAACAACAGCTTTCCCTATAGAACAAAAAATCCAATTAAAAATTAAATTAAAGTAATA